AATTTACTATGTTAGAAACAAATGTGGAAAAAAGAAAAAAAGTTAGCACGAAGCAGGTTTCGAACAGGTGATCTCTAATATTCCAGCCACTCGCCTCAGAATTTCTTTTCTGAATCAGTAACGCTTGCTTTTAACATGCAAGTAGCATGCATTTATCGTCTGTTGTGTCGGCTCGGTGGAAGGGAGCGTTCGCTCTCTTTCATTAGTTGAACGGCCGAGCTCACACGGATACGTGCGTAGCGCTTCTGTAAGGTTGTGTGAGGCAGCGGAGCCGGGACCGCTGTGGGAAATATCGCATCACTGACTTGACCAAACGATTCTCTTCTTTCACAGACAATGGGCGGTATTCATAGTCCGTTCTTATATTCAAGATCGTCTTAAGAACGAACTTATATTCGCTCTCTTCGTCAGACACAATCTATGTGTGACGAAGAGAGCGAATATAAGTCCGTGCTTAAGACGATTTTAAATATAAGAACGGACTATGAATACCGCCCAATGAGTATCGCAGAGTTCGAGAATCTTTTAAATACCAGGCATTTCACGAAAAAAGGTCCTTTCTTGTAGTGGTTAAAGAAGTATCGGTACAATATACTTTTCTTTATTGGAATTTTATTATAATCTTTATCAGGACTATCTAACATAACCATTTAGCTATTGCTCTATTTATAATTCACATTTTAGATTCTGATAAAATGTAAGTTGTATACATAAATTAATAAAAGTTGGCAAATTAATAATAAATTTTATCAAACTTTACTACATTTAACGACATTTCATCAAATATTAACATTTGGCTAACACTAGAGAGTAATATACTTGATATCTAACTACTCAGCAAACACTAACCAACAGTAACATCAAAATGTTATAATTTTCCACTCAAATATAATAGTTACGTACATTATATTGCAGTTGTAGAGTGGGAAATTATAACATAGATGTTATGTTATTGTTGATTAGTGTTTGCTGAGTACTATGTCATTGTTTGCTACTAATAAAAATTGAGATATTTATTATTATATAAGCCAATTTTTCAAATAAAAATAAAAATTAAACAATGACAACGATTATGGTGCAATGCATGCGTAGCTATTGTTAGCTATTAATTATTTATATATATACATAATTATGATAAAACAGATATCCAGTTACAGTTACATAATAATTATATTACATCTGTACATTAATATTATGAATATTAATTACAAATTAACATAAATATATTACATATGCATATTATATTACTGCACATTTTATATTACTGCAATTATACTGTGAAAAGTAAAGAGTTGACCATAGTTTGCTAGGTTACCTGACCGGGAGACCGTATAAGAACTTGTTTGGTATCGATTCTTTCGTGTTTGTTCACTCGCGTTTCTCTTTTGCCATCTCAGATTACAGGGCCTGTTCTGTCCAGTGTGCAATATTGTCGTTTATGTCAGTTCTTTAGAATGTTTTCTTTGAAATATTACTCTTTTTAACGAAATTATGATTACATTGTTTGCAATTCTTGATATATAAATAACGACTTAATTTAATGTTTATATGTATATTTCTTAAAAATAAAAACAAATATTTTAACCACATAAAAAATTATTAAAGTATCTACATTGATATTAAATAATTTATACGTTAAATATAACGTTCATCATGCACACAAAAATTAGATTTATTTGACACTTTTTGTACAAAAAATCAAAGAAAGAGGTTCGTCAAAAAGATTAATGAGAGTTATGATTTGTTTGTCTTTCAGGTAGCGCACATACTGATAAGATTGCGGTTATCAGTATTGCTGATGTTATGTCGTAATATCTCGGTAATTTAACATAATCTTTTGTGAAGAAGGTCGTCCAGTGCACGTTTCAGAGCTCAGTCTCTCACTTGCACGCGACCTGGACAGCCAACCGGTATCTGATGATTATCCATCGCAGCGTGTGGTGTAGCGTCAATTTTTGTAATTTTTACAAGCACGTATAAAACATTGATATAGTTCGAATAGATATATCACATAACTTTCGATTCGATTATGTCTTCAACAGCGTTTGTTAAAGCCTTATTCAGTGTAAAGTAAAATATGTGTGGACAAGATGGTGTTTTATCTGAATCATACATTTTATATAACTTGTTTTCTTCAAAGTTTAAATATATGTGTACAACATTGTGTATAATCTATTGTATTTTTCACAAAAGAGAGATTAGATCGCTGTTTAATCACTTGTGTTACAAATTGTTATTTATGATTATGTGCGTGCGTGCATTTTGGTTTGATATCTTTGTTAAAATTATGTTATTGAGTTAAATTATATCAGCTTTAATGAGTCATAATTAAATCCAAATTGTTGAATCTTAATAGGCGCGTTATTATCGTAATAAGATGTGTTATTATTTATAATTACGCAACTGTTCTAACAAGAAATTGTTCTAAAGTAACTCGCAGCAAAATTCAATCAAGTGAAAGGGACGGTGGCCACAGGCTTGCCTTAGAGAGAAAAAGCGTCATCATAGACATTTTTATTGAGTATGATGGATCGTTACTGTTATTTAATTTTTTATGTTTGCATCATATTTTATCAGAAATCTTTTCGCGCTACAGAGTCGTTTTAAAATTTGATTTACATTTTAATTGCGCGTAACACATTATAGTTATTACAACATTAATAACTATCTTATTTTTCTCTTTATTCTAGAGAATGATTAGAAGATAATTATTATAGCTTTACAAATATATATAAAGGCGCAAGTGAGAGAAATAATTTCATAATGGATTTACTAAAATCGTAAAAGTGTCTTTATCTGCATCTTGGAAAACACAAACTTTTAAAAATGGATAATGTCAACGAGCGAGCACCTCTCGTGGATACCGGAAGGCTGGCGACATCCACAAAATTTGCTTACGCTCTTGGACATGTTTTTAACGATTTGACGGCTGCAATGTGGTTTTCTTACACTCTAATTTATCTTCAACGAGTGGCATTGTTAGAACCTATCGTCGCCGGTGCGCTTTTACTATTAGGTAAACGTCAAAGTACTTTTTACGTTGTCACGCTACCATAATTAACGGCCACTAATTAATGTTTGAACAATTTTTATTCAAGGACAAGTTATCGACGCAATTATGACACCTGTATTTGGTTTTCTGGTCGATCGATACTGCAAGAAGAAAATCTGGCACGTCGTCGGTTCCACTATGGTCACTCTGAGCTTTCCCATAATATTCGGCGGTTTCGCCAATTCGTCTACGACCGCAATGTTTTTATACGTGACGAGTATTACGATATTTCAAACGGGTTGGGCAGCTGTGCAAATCTCACATTTATCAATGATTCCCTCGTTAACTAATTCTCTTTTAGCTCGAGCTGATTTGACCGCGATAAGGTATGTGAATTATGTAATGTCTTTTGAGAACGTGGGAACTGCTAGTAACGAGGCACTCGACCTCTTTATTTCAAGATAAATCTAATTGCAGATATTCCGCCCAAGTTGGTGCAGCCGTGGTAGTTTTTGCTGTTACATGGATAGTTTTACCAACCAATGGAGAGTCGATGGTCCAGCTGGATCAACAAGATGACTATAAATTCAGGGTATATAAAGAGAAAAAAGATGTGCGCTGAAAAGAAGTTTTAGTACTAATCAATGTTTACTTTGATTCACAGAATATCGTTTTAGTCCTCACGACTTTTGGACTGACCGCAACGGTCTTTTTTCACGTTCTTTTAAAAGCGAATCTCTTGGAACAAACATCTTCAAAATTAAACGTCGAAGAAGGAATTAGAACATCGGATAATTTCTCAAACCGCCGAGTATCATGGGTCGCTATTACGATTTTGTTAAGAGTTGCGATGCTGTACGTAGCAAGTAGATTGTTCATTACTCTCGCTACGGTATACTTGCCACTGTACATAGAAGAGACCAAGGTTGGTGGCAAACAGGCGTTGGCTACCGTGCCATTGGTTTCGTATGTATCTTCATTCGCAGCCGCTTTGCTACTTAAATACATCAACAGAACCTGCGGTACCAAGGTAATTTTCTTATAATAAAAAAAAAGAAAGATAAATATTAAATGTATTTTTTGTTTTTTTTGTGAATTGCAGTTTTGTTATTTTCTTGGCGCTATAATTGGTATAATAGCCGCTGTGGTTACGGAATTCGTCGGAAGTAACACGACGGTCGTATACGCCGTTGCCGTATTAATTGGCGCGGGAAGTTCTATTACGATGGTCACCGCGTTGAGCGTCACCGCCGAATTAATCGGCTCAAGAACGGAACGTAGCGCGCTCGTGTATTCCATTGTCACTTTCCTCGATAAAATCATCACTGGTTTCGTGGTGATACTCATCGAGAAATGGTGAGTAATATCCGTAAAATGATTGCGCGAATTTTAATTACAAAATTACATTCATAATATTGATCATAAATAAACATTAAATCAACTCTATTCTGGAAAATTTATATTCATTGGGTTTCATGTTAATAACGCAAATTGTAATAATTATTCTATTATTTAGTTAATTATTCCAATATTTTTATTTTTTTAGGAGATGTAGCAATAAGGAACTTTGTCCTACGTATAATCGAGACACGTTATCCATCGTATGCGCTTCCTCGATGATTCTGGGACTAATTACTTTGCTCTCTGTATCACGTTGTCTGACTTAAAACAATTTAAAACAATGACAAAATTGATGCTTTTACATCATATTATTTATTTTCATTTAACACTGCCGTCAGACAGCGAGCGATTAAAAACATTTCACAGTACATAACGTTATTTTGTTTATTCGTGATGTTATCTTATCATAATTGCAACAAGACTAAACCAATTCTAGCGTTTTTCGTATTTATCGACTTTTTTTTTATCAATTGATACATTATTAATCGAGTGTAATTATTACATCGTAGCTTTGTTAAAATGCACAAGATGTCGCTATGTGTGCGGTTGACGTAAGGGCGACGATTCAGCCGAATGGCGTGTAGTGTCATGGCGGCGATGCTGGAGTACGATGACCCGCTTGTTCGCGCGTTACACGCTGGCTCTTCGCGATTGCGTCGTAGTACGTCAAGGCAGATATTCGTTTTATCGCGCGTACAAAGCGAGCGTCGAGAAAGAGGGGATACGTAGACGAGCGACGAGCCACTGCGCAGATGCTTATTTTGCTTGGCCGGCACGGGGGGACGGGGGTGGACGCACGTTCATGGGGCATGGCGCGGTGCGCGTTCTAGTAAACAACTTGTGTGTGAGTCGCGCGGGGAATCTGCGCCCCGGTCGAGTAGTCGCGATATTTATTCAACGACGCGGCGTATCGTACCGTCGCGCGCAACGACGCGTCGCGTCGTCGTCTGAAAATCACATTGTATCGTTGGTAAAGTGATCAAGAAAAAAATTTACGGATTAATTCAGACTGTGTGAACCGACTTGATTCACGGCCCGTTTCGTTTATTATGCGTACGTGCGCCCGCGAGTGATTGTTGCTCGTGGTTTGCCGAGAAAAGTGTCCCGGATCTAACGAGGAAGCGGTTTTACAATCGTGTCCAAAAAGGAGCGGAGCAACTATCAACGTCGATAATGCCGCGGTGATGACTCCGGCACGAGACGTCTTGAGATTCCCGACTGGACGCCGTGTTTCGGTGAGACCTCTTTCTGCTTTCTCTTTCACAGCGTCTTCGTTTTTTCGCCGCAGGCGCGCGCGAGTCACTAATTCGTCTCTGTTATCTATGACGTATTTGCGAAGCAATTTGACTGTTATCGCGAAAAAATGTCGCAAACGTGCGATATACTAACAGCGTTCCAAAAAGATGTTTGTGTCGGAAAACATCTCCGCGAAAGACGCAAAACATTTATATTCGTTTTCGACTTACGTCGCGAGAATATTTACTCTTTACGTTTCGTTTCTCTTTCTACTTTCTGCTTTACAAAGTTGCTTTGAATCGCGTTTCTCCTTGCGTTCAATCGGACAGGATAGATCGTTTGGCAGGAGGAGGGGGGAGGAGTAGGGCAAAGGTGTGCGCGACTAGCACGCGAAATTTTCTCAGGACAATGCATCGCTCCTGGGCGTTGCTCCTCTCACGGCTCGGCATCACGAAGCTCGCGCACATAAAGTGCTTCTTCCGCGAAACACGCGTGTTTTCGTCGGTTCTCGCACAGCGCGGGTATCAATGGCCTCCGAGGTCGCCGCGAAAATTGCTCGTTTGTTCGTGCGGAAGGATAGACAACGTGGAGCGGCAGGAGAAAAAGGCCGCCGAGTTCCATATAGGGGAGGCGGCGATGTTGATTTTTCGTGGAAGGAAACGCGGAGGCGGCGGAACGCCTCGTCGTGTTTCCACGAATCTCGCTGCGAGATTCGCAATGTCATTTCCTCCGGTGTAAGTGGCCCCATGTATATCGGCGCGTCGACAGGCAGAAAGCAGCGTGGCGACGGTTATATCGCGTTCCGCGATATTTTTCTCTTTAGTCACTGACCTCGCGGTCGCTCGGCTAACCTCGTTCGCCGCCGCTCCATGCCGCGCCGTCGCGTCGGGAGAGCGAACGTCGCGATGACGTCGTCCCAAACTCGAGAGAGGGTCGGGCCTGATTTCAGCTTGCTTCCCTGCTCCGAGTTACACTCTTACATCATTATTATATATATATTTATCATTATTATTATACACATTGCTCTTCTCTCAAACCTATGTCTGTGTTATTATTCATATTTCGCGTCCCCATCCTCGATTTATTGCGTTGTCTTTACATGTCCTTGAATTCGTCCCTGTAGGACAGCAATAAACGCTGCCCTTCTCTCTTTCCTCTCTTCCGCGCTTTCTCGCGCGGATCGAGTCAATTTCCTGGAAAATTGCATCGTCGATATTCAGTACACCTACGTTTGCATACCAGACACATGATCGCGTTTCGCGCACACCGGATATCGCAATTTCCGATGTCTAAGATTACATTAATGGCAATTTGATTTCAACTCAAACAACGCATATTTGTATATTTTTGCAAGCGCACTATAAGCTGGCAAAACGCATTCAGAAGTCGCGCGAAACCCTTTCTCGTGTAGCCGCGGTGCACCGTATCGTCCGAAAATGGAGGCCGTTCCTTCGCGCGATTATTTTCGAGTTGGCGAACGGTGCGACGGCAGGAGAGTATCGATCGAACGTTCTAGTCGCTAACTTCTGATAAGAAACATTTGATTGATAACGATGACATATCCAATGTTTTCTACTAGTTATTGAATCCAAAATAAGAATCATATATCTCTAACTTTTGAAATATTGGAAAAAAAAACATTTGTAAAAGAAGCATTGTGCGGATTATTTTTAGAAGGATTAAAAACAATTGATGCATGTAAAATAATCGTCGAATAACGTAGAAATCGATACGACTGTATTGATTGAGAATCGACATCAATTGTTGCGCGCTACTTTGTTGTTAAATGCTTTTTTATTAAGCTGGCGGAACAGAGTCCAACATAAAACAGCACGAGTGACGATGACGTTTACGACATCAGCAAAATTTGCTGCCTAGTGTATACGTTAACTAAGGTGAAATGAGTAAAGTGTCTGCGAGACGTCTAGCCTTGAGAATATTCGTAAAAATGTATTGGATTATTGACGACCGACTTTAACGACCACAGTAATAACGTTGAAGTACGTTTCGTAACCGTATTCGCGTTTTATTATCTCTCATAAATGCTGGCGATTTATTCTTAAATGTTATTACAAGTCATAAAAATACTAACAATTTTTGTTAGAACATTTTATTCCGGAATGAATGAAAAAATACCGGAAAAAATGAACTCGTGACTGTTATTTCGTAACAATATTAGCGATACTGCTCTCAAATTTTTTTCTATCGAATACCACAAGAGTACTTCCGAAATTATTGCTGTTTTGTCCCGTCAACGTTTATCGTGCTGAATTCGTAAGAAAATATGAAATGTAAAGATTGGAATTTTGCTTGAATTGAACAATGGATGTTGAGATTCTCTTTCTTTTGAATAGCTTGTAATTAAGAAATTATTATTGCGCATTATTTTTGAAAATATGAATTCGTAGAAACAGCAATGATGCCTGGCAGTCGATTTCGCTCGCGTCATGTATCGTAATTGGATAGCTTGTTCCCTCCCCGAGAGTACTACGCCAACGATGGCACGGAATGTCACCGCTGTTGCACTATTAACGCGTACCAAGGGCACATGCGCCCAACTGAACGATTGCCTAGTATTGTTATGTTAAGGGAATGCACAGCTTCGAATAACCGCGTCAACATTCGTGATACATTGCAATCAGTAAAATTTGATGGAAAATTTTCTCGAATCAAAAGCTGAATCAGAGCGAAAATTGACTCTAAAATAGTAAATGATTATGCGCGAAGCCCGCGCGAGTGAAGAATTTTCCAACAACCTACATAATATCTAGTTCCCTTCGCGTGCGGACGATTGCTCAAGGATCGTTACGGGTTGTCGATAATTGTTAAGAGCGTGGCTCATTCTCGCCGACAACGAGATGCATCTCGTGTTGCATGTCCAATGTTCCGTTTACGTTGCAATCTTCTATAAATTTTCCGTAGAATATATAAAGCTGTCGCTGTTGCTTCAACTATCGCTGCTACTGTCATAAATAATCTTTTTCTTATCATTAACGTTGCAACCGTGTCCTTGTTCGCTTTAACAAGATTTCAACTTTCTATTCAGGCGTGCGACACGGAAAATCTAATTATCCCCATAGATTTATAGAGAACAGCATCGAATGTATACATAGCACGGTTACTTAGAGATTGTGTCTTAACTTGGTTGCTAATTCGTTAATTTGTTTGTATTGCTGCGAGTACTTGTGAATTGTGTCACTTGCTTTATAGTTCTTATTATAAATTAAACGAGTAAGCAGTCTTTTGTAATAACCACATGCATAAATACGTTCGATTGCAAATGATTGCAGTTGAAATTAGAATTTAATTTTAAACATATATTCCGTCACGTCGTTAAAGTTGACACAGTTGGAAAAAGTCTATATTTCAAATTCGAGGACAGTAATAGGTCTGTTAAGACGTTAATTTATTCTACATAAATTTAAATTTCAGATAAATAGAAATATACAGCTGTATCGAAAAATATAAGTGTTTCTTGAAAATTAAATATTTGGAATCGCGGCATTTTTTTTTTATTTTTTTTATTTTTTTTATTTTATTTTAAACGAAGTAACACGTCTTTATTTTATTTTCGTTCTCGCGACGACTACTTCGTGTCTTTGTCGTTAACTAATCTCTGTCAGCTTGCATACGATTAACGTGTGGTTATCAAAAAACTCATTACTCGATAAGGCGCGTTTGTCGAAGATTTTTACGAGCGTGTTTTAACTAAAGATATTTTACAAAGGTGTTTCCAAATACCGTTTCGATCAGCGCTAAATCAGCGTTTTCACGCAAGAAAGACTCCATTCGCGCCGCGCCGCCCATTTCGATCGCCGTGCGTTTTGCCTAAGATCCTGGAATTTGACTGCAACGCATATCGGGTGCCTCGAAAGTACGCTGCGCGCGCTGCTCCCTCCGGTTTTCCGTTGTTAAATTTTAATGACAAAAAGCAACGCCGGCGAAGCGGTGACCGCCCGACATGAAGCCGTTAAAATGTAAACCGCGCTGAGACCGTGTATGCAATTTATGTACACGCGTGCGTGTGTATGTGTGCGCGAGTGGTGTGTGTTGCGCGTTCTTTCCAGGAACTATATTTCATTCAGGCACGTGTATGCACTTTGAGAATACCGCAGAATTCCTAAAACTGTTTTGCGTTGTTTCGACACGCTACATTGAGACCGAGATTCTACCGTAGACTCCGTCATTGAAATGCGGCGTTGATAATTTTTGCAACTCATGCTTTCTTTTCTTCCTTTCCATCGACGTATGCAAATCATGAGGTTTTCATCATGTAGCCACGAAAGAATTTTTCATCACCGAACATGTACTCTATTGTTCTTTTCTCATTTCGCCAAGTTGTTTGAAGCACCGACCAATATAGCTTACTTTTGTTTCCTCTCATTTCTATACTTTTCCCTTTTCGATTTTGCTACTCTTATTTCTCTTGTTTTTCGTTTTATACCACTGCTCTTACTTATAAACAGCGTTGCCGCATGTTATCTTGCCTTCGGGCGTAGGTATTTTGTACTTAAGCGAGTATCGTAAGAGCCCGTATCTTCCTCGCTAATAAACCAGCCTATTATCGCCTCGAGCGTTTGCCATCCCTTTATCGCTGTTCTTCTTTTCGCCGCCTTCTGCATTTGATATCGTTCGAACCCTGCCGAGCAGCCTGGCGAACGAGATCGACGTATAATTTGCGAACATTTGCGCTCGATTATATGGATCGATGTCGAATTTGTCAAGTGTCTTGGGCAACATTCTTCAATTATCATTAATTAACGAATTAAAAAATAGCAAGCATTAACATGTAGTCGCTAAATAGGAACCTTGTAGAGCTGGCATTTGATAGATTTTCCGCAGACTTGTTATTGGATAGGCGATGCATACGTTTGACAAATATAGTCGCACATATAGTAAATATGGCTTAGTGTATGGCGTAGTATATGACGTATATAGCTTTATGTACTACGGCATATAGTGATGCTAATGAACGAGGGGGTGTTACTAAATTCTCCCG